ATAGTGGAACCAAACTTCTCTGTTGAGAATGGGAACTACTCTAGGTATCGTGAACACTCCTCTCCCTTTCACCCTAATCCTGGCAAATCGAAGCTCCTAGAAATCTCTTGTTTGATTGTCAATAACCTCCAATCCCCCACAGAGACTTCCTATTAGGTTAAACGTCTCCACTGTCCACAGATGAAAAGGCTGTATATCACTATCCAACCATCAAAACTCAGATTTGCAAGGTTTTCATTCAGTTTTGGCCACCACCGGTCAATCAACACCTTCTTCCCATACACAAACACTGATCCCAACTTCGCCCACTTGCTGATTGTCTCCTCTGACAGGGCAAACCCCATTGCCTTGTTTGTTTCAAAGGGTTTCAGAGTTAACAGTATCGGGGAATGCAGGTTCGCTGAGATGCCCAGTTCCACGTCTCTCCAACTTACGTCCTCTGGCTTGGTGCATATGAAGGCTGTCTTCCAATTTCCAAACGGGCCAATTCTATGGACCACGGATATGAAAGCTCTTCCTCCAACCACCGTCACTCTACTTCTTCCTTTCTCTAAGCTTGGAAATTCCTCTGTCGATGGGGGAACAACTTCTGGTCTTTCCTTTCTGACGAGAAACCAACTCAAAGTTTTTGACATCGTTTCCCACCCTAAAGTGTTAGCTTCTTCTGGAATAATACAAATGTTTCTTGTTCTTCTCGCTCCTTCCCAAAGGCTTAACCCTATGTATCTTCCCCATCTATTTTCAGCAACTGAAAATGAGGTTATCCTTCCCCTGTCTGCCCGTCTTAACGGTTCAAAAAGTCTATTGCGGTTTTCTAGTAATTTTTCCAAAGCACCTACAATTCAACTTACCTCATCTTATTTAAGAACGATTCTGGACCATGCCCCTCTTCCCCTCTCTGTAATCACCAACACCCCATCCCCTAGAGATCAGCTTGTATCAAGTTTGAATGTTTTGGAGACAATGGCAATACGCCTCCTTTGACCTTTTACATTGGGTAGGCTCATATAACTTCTTGTCATGCCTAATACACCTACTAATAAGTTACCCATATAACTTCTTGTCATGCCTAGGCACTTGCCTTACTGACTGCTGGTTTGCACCTTGTACATTGGGGTAGGCTCATTTTCATGGTCCCACCTGCCCATCTCTAAATGGTCCCCCCAAAGTACTTTGTTGCCTAGGTCTTCACCTATGTGATGCTTTGACAACTATGCTAGAAATTCGAGTTTGTTATAAAGGAAGAAATGGTGATTCTTTTGTCCCTCAGCTGCATTTTGTTTCTACACAAGATGAATGGAAAAAAAATTCAGGATGAAAATTTTGAGCTATATTTATTTTCTTCCCTTTTACAATGAAAATTTCATTTTCCTTGCCTTTTTGCAAAAACAAATTAGAAGAGGTGGAAAACAGACATTTTGCTATGAAAGGCACCGAAGTAACATCTGAAACATTTCAGTCTGAAAATTTTGAGGGAGAAGCAAATACAACCTAGGATAAGCCACATTATGAATTTACGTTCCTCCCTCATTTTATGGCATTTTCATAAAATTGATGCATCCTAGTGATCATCCCATATCCTTAATGCCAGTCTCCAAAGCCTCATCTCTCTTAGAGGCCCCATGGTGCTACCACTTTCTATCTGCATGCTATCACAACCTTAGCCAACAAATAAGCCCTAGTATTAAACTGTTTTAAAATGAAGCTGGTAATAGAAATCTGAATTCCATTAGATGGTTAGACAGATCAAGGGCCTTCTCTCCTCATGTATAACATCTGTTGTAATTAGCAATTCCTCTTGAATTTCCAGAGAAACTATGTTTTTTGCAAATCTAAGGCCAAATAGAAGTGGCATTATTTCTGCCTTGCTAGAATTTGCCTCTCCAATAAAATTTCAAAAATGACTTATCAGAAAAGTATTTGCGTCTCCAATGATCATAGTAAAGGTCCACAGCTCACTCCCCTCCCTATCCAAAACACAACCTCCAATTATAGGGTCTAGAATTCCTTTAGGTGGCATTATTATGAAATCTCATTGTTGCCTATGCTAAAAGAGTTGGTTAACATGCAATGGCTTTACTTATATTTATAAAAAAAAGAGTTTGGTTAACACAATATGGTTGCCAGCACAAGAAGAGCAATGTAAAACGGCCCAAGAATTGTCCTGTTTCCTTTAAAATACTGTAAAGATGATCCTCAAAGATCCTTTGCTTCCCTATTGTGAATTGTGATTTCTTATCTGGGTTGCCTCCCTAAAGGCTTATGACTGGTCAACTGTTAATTCTAAACTCTAAAGTGGCTTGTTTTTTTTCTCTATATTTTTTAATTAAGTCTTAGCTTGTGATTCAAAGGGTCCACACAGGGTTGGGTAAGGGATTCATTCCTGAGAGGGGGAAGGTGTTTGGAACCTTCTCTCTCATTACCTTCTAATGTCAGAACAGTCTTATCATATATAAAAAACTACTAATGTCAGATCAAGCCTTGTTCAAAGAACCACACAGCACCTTGGTTTGCCATATAAAACTTCTTATGGGCACTTGACAGCACCTATAGAGTGCTAAATGGATGTTTGAATAGCTGCACAACTTTGGTGGAGGTCCCTTCTGAATCCACCAAAAAGAGAGTGCTGCTTTCAGATTTAAATTGACTAGTGAATGCACTAGCCTATTAAAAAGTGAGATTATGGTGGTACCGTGGTGGCATAAGGAAACAACATCGATATGGCTTTAGCTACAACTTGAGCAAGTTGCCTTTGAAGTTACTTGGGCCTTTTTATAATAAAAGAAAATTTCAAAATTCATTAAAAGAAAAGAGGAAGAGAGTATACAAGCCTACAAGGAGCATACAGGCTTTGTGTCCCAAAAGAGCTGATGGTTTAATTATTTGACAAAGACTTTCCTTGTGGAAACTTAGATACTTATCCAAAATTTATCTAGCGTACCTCTCTACTTCCTATCTCTACTCTCAATTTCCACTAGTGTAGCCATCTGCTTGGAAAAGTTATGAAGAGATTTTATATGGAAGGAGTTGAAGGATGAAATCAAATATCACTTGGTTGATAGATGGCTTGGTTTGAGGCAGTTGAAAATAGTGAGCACATCTCTTGTAGTGAAGTTGTGGATATTTAATGAAGAATCAACACACTATGATGGAAATTATTGTGGCTGAGTTTGAGTCAAGAGAGGTGGGTGTGCCTTGGCGCAACGGTTGGGTTGCTCCATTGCAACCTGGGTGATCAGGCTTCAAATCTTTGGAGTCTGTGTATCTGCAGGGGTAAGACTGCATACATCTGTCCCTTCCCCAGGCATGCCTTTTTTTATTATTATTATCAAAGGCATCAATTGGTTTGGGTCTTCACTGTTTGATCAGCTTCCTTGATGAAATATATGTTTCATATTGATTAAAAAAAGAGAAAAAGAAGGTAATAAGTGTTTGATGTGAACTGCTCAAGACAAACAATGCTAATAATTAGACCACTATGAGAGCTGATTCTTACCAATTTTGGCTGCATCTCCAAGTTTCTGTTTTGTTATTTGTAAGTTGTAACAGATTAGTCAAGTCTAGCACTCAGAATCCGTTTCTTTACTGTTTTTCTATAAAATAGGACCATAATTGATCTCATTCTGAATTGTATTATTTTGTTGATCAATCATTCTGAATTGTATTATTGATAATGTGTTTTTAGTTCATTCAATTGTTCAGTGGATGGTGGGGTGCTTTCTTTCCCCAGATCAGGCCTTACCTTCTAGCCTCTTGGCATTTGAAAGGTTTCTCTCCTTTTTTTTGGTAAGAGAAAGTTTTCTCTTCTACTTATCAAAAAAAAAAAAAAACAAAAACAAAAACAAAAAGTTTTCTCCTCTAAAGGTAAGATCATTTGGAAGTTGCTACCTCTAGCCCTGTGTTGGGGTGTGTGAAAAAGAAAGGAACAGCCGTGTGTTTGAAGCTGTAGTTGCCCCACCTGAGCTTGTTAATTGTGATTAACAAGATTGAATGGACTCTAGTTTGGTGCACGGGAGTCTAGAAACCTTTTTCTTATACACCTACAGACAGTTTTTTGTATCATTGGAAGTCCGTCATTTTTTTTATATAATACACCTATATGTATACCTTGGTAGGGGAGTCATGGTATACTTGTAAAGATATTCTTGTACATGCTTTTGAGGGTGTCTTGCCCTCCTCTTATTAATAGAAATCATATTATACTTTGCGTATCATCACTAAAAATAGTGTTTAACTATCCGAGAATGGTTTCTGTGCAGTACAAGAATGCCATTAACCATGGTGCAGGACAATGGCGGATGGATTTTGATTATCTGCTTAGCTGATCAATTCATTTTGTGATTTTTTGATTAGTAACAAGTTAAAGCTATTAATGAAGAAAAGGAATCTCATGCCCTAAGCATAGGGGAATGAGAAGTACAAAACTGCCTGCAGTTGACATTCTCTTGATTCTGGATGATATCTATGAAATACCATTACTGAGAATTGATGGTCAACCCTATAGATTTCATCTTTCTTTAGTCAAATTCCTTATTTGGATGTCACAGAGCTCACCCCGTTGTCGGGCTGAGAGCTGTGCCTGATTCTGAGCTACAGTGTATTTGCACTGCCCAAAGGGGAAATAAGAGATAAAATGGGTAAATTGTATGGTAATCGATTTATTTCATTAATAATCATTGCCAATATATAAGCTGGTCATCTGACCATTACAGCCAATAATGAGTAATGATTGGTTACATGATGAAGAAAAAGACAAAAGATGTTATACGTCGTAATGGCAGTCAACGGATCAGGTGTGTGACTGATGCGGCACAATGACGTCCTCGGTAGTAAGGTTGGCTCAAGCTGGAGCGTGTGACAGTGGAGCATGAGCATGATCCATTAGCATTTGATCTGTAGTTGCTGAACATAATAACTGTGATTAATTGTTCTGAACAATATTGACTTGAGATTTCTGTTACTTTTTTTTTGTGGCTAACAAGGAATTTTGTTATTTGAAGATGGCCATGTTTTCCCTCAGCCTCGAACATATAAACCAGCTCATTCCATTGGAGAGGAGTTCTTGAGCAGGCAAGAATGCACAAAGCTATTTTCCTTTAAGCTCTTTGTTTTTTTTTTTTGGGGGGGGGGGGGGGGGGGTGAAGTACACTAAATCCTGAAGCTTGTACCGTGCAGGTTTACCAGAAATGCAAGCCTGGTTGCTTCAGGCGTGGCCAGGAACATGTATAGAGTGGGTAACTATATAAAGGACAATCTTGATGACATACTATATCCTTACCGAAGGCGACCCAAGTAAGGTTGCTGAATCACGGCTGCCATGTACAATAATAAAGGAATGTTGTCAAGATTCCAAGAAGCGGGAAATTAGCCTCGTCTGGTCTAATCATCCAAATTTGCAATTTTTGCTGTTTGCGCTTCTTTCTTTCTTTTTCTATTGTCTATGAAGCAATAATACTGTTGTTTGACATGGGGAAACTGGTGGTTACAATGCATGCCTTGGATGGTTTTATTTGTTTACCCGATCAATATTATAGTTAATGATAACCGACAGTAATAATGACAAATTGCCTTTCTCGTAAAGATTGTGCACATTACACATACGTGAGCCCTGGAATTTTTTGTTATTTTTTGGTGGGGTGATGGTGGTTGTTCGACTATGATATTGTAAGAACTTGTAACCAATCAATCAATCAATAACATAAAATAGTTGGATCCATACCTTTCTCGCATTACAGATTTACCTTTTTGTTTTTCTTTTGCCAGGGCCAGGG